TTTCATTTATGTAACAGGATATATCACAAGTAATTCAAACGAATTTCTAATTCAATTGTCTAATTACTTTCCAATAGTATAAACTTTATAAATATACCACAAGTAATCCATTCTGTAAGTTCAATTAGATCGTCTCAATTGAGCTCTCATGCCAAATTGTTTTCCAATGATATACATCTATATATACCATAAACAATTCTAGCAACTAGCTCCACATTGATAATCATAGTCATCTTGATGACGACCATCATTTGGCAAGCTTATTAAATCCCTTTAAGGATCAATTATAGCTTCATTTTCCTTGCCCTCGTGGCATAGGAAATATCAAGTCCTAAACCACATACATAATAAACAAATTATTATGTCATCACAAGCATCTTAGTAATTAGAATTCCTTATCACTTATGGCTTACTCGTAATGCAAACCTACTCTTTCAAACTATGTCCAACATACTATGAACATTACATTTGCAACCATTCCGGCTTAGATAGACTTGATTCACAAGTCCCCACTAGCCTTGCACTATAGGTTTTACACACCTATGATTGTTCATATTCTCCCACTAGATAGTTTACTACTATCATAAGTACTTCCATCATCTCATGCATCACCTTGAATGAAGTCCAAATTAAATTGGCACATTTATCATTCATCCATGCCACAGAAATGAAATGGACCAATGCAATAAAAGCATTAAAACTTTGTGGTTAATTTTGGAACCAAACAAACTCGTAAGGTTTTATCCAACTAATTTTCCATTTGGGAGATAAGAACATTTGTCCTTTATTCATCATGTAAACACATGACTTACATAGGTACACACATATTAATACCATATGTATAATACACACATACATATGTCTACTCTTCAAAGGAGATTACAATACATATACAAGAATCCTAAGGATTCTTGGGGTCGAAGTCAGGATCAGAGAGGCATTCATCTGTCGCTATGTCGGAGTACTCCTCCTCGTTCTCTGATTCCTCAACTTCCTCTTCTTCCCCCATACTCTCCATCGAGTCCAGATGGGTGCCATATCGTCCACATTGGGATCCATTGAGTACCAATCATAGATGAGTATTTCATCTAGAGTCCAATAATTGGTTGGATGCTCTCCACCAATATCATTATATAGCCAGACAACTTAAATAGACAGTTCTAGGGGAACACAAGGATCACAATCTAATTCCGGAATTGGCTTACGAATGCCACTTTTTCTTTTGGAACCAACCAAGAAGAATGAAGTACACACAACTTGACCAGTGGCAAAGCACTTCCAGAATCATATATATGTTGTTCAAACATATATGTATGAAACCAACCCACCATCCGCATGGCATTAGCTATCGTCCTTTATCTCCGATAGCAGTGGAACAAAACAGGGGTTAAAGAACAACACAAAATCATATGTTTATATGATCAAGTCCCTTCTCAAACGGTTAAACAACCAACAGATTGATCACTAACCAAAAGCAAATTATCCAGGGACAGATCAAGTTCCACTTATACATAAGGAGCCACAAATTCTTCTTAATGACTGCTGGATACAATTTGAAATCCTTTCAAAAGCCAACCAGGCCAGTTTACTCATTTCACGATTCATGCAATTATTAATGAAATGAATTGGCCATTTACACAAAACCATCCACTAAAATGCCTAATTTCACGTAGCATGCATGTGGGGATTGTATTGATAAAAAACAAATCAATACCAATTACAACAACATATATACAGATTACATACTATATAACGTATCATCATTTTCTATTTCATTGTGACCAGTGGTGATGGATATTTATGCAAATGAAGAAATAGCATATATGTTCGGTTTTAAACCTCCACTTCTCTCTATGCATACAAAGCAGAACAAAGCAGATCAACCCACGGGAACAAAAACACCCGGTTATTATGCACAGAGAACCAAATAAACATATTGTTCTTGCAATTTTCCAGTTATCAATTGCGCATGCAAATTCTCCAAGTATTAGGGTTCTTATGCAACGTAAACAATAACCAATAAACAATAAGATTCTTTAAGATTGTTGGGGAAATTGTTCACGTATACTATTTTCTTGCAACACAAGCAAACACATAAGATTAAGAAAAACATGCAAAGACACATGCAAGCGTCCTAGCCGATAGAATTCATTATCTCTCCTTAAAGAATCTTATTCCCCTCAAGTACCCAAGGTTGTGGAATGATTCCTCCCAAGATAGAAAGGACGTACCTTTTCCGGCGTAGCGGTACCTCAAACCCCGGAAACCATCGAACGCAGCGAAACGGCGAGAACCACACTTGACTCTATTTTCTCTTTGAAAAGGAATGCAGAAAAACTAGTTTTGGATTTTGGCAGAGTTTCAGTATCGGGAAAAATCCAGGTAAAACTCGTAGTTAAAACAAGAGGGGGTATGGTGCTATTTATAGAAAATGAAGGGATGCATTGAAGGGAGGCAACTCTTCATATGGGTGGTTACACCCCAACCATTGCATTGGTTCGGCCTCATGGAAGTTGGACCGGTTTGGTTATTCCAACCGCCATATCGGTTCGGTTCGAATTGGTTCAACTCGGTTTGGTTCATTTGGTTACACAAACCAATTTAACCAATTAACCACATATTACATCAAATCGATCGAATTCGAGACCATGCCTTCCCACATCTTACCAACATGGTACTTCAAGAGACTCTCTTGAAACTTTCCCCTTTTATTTCCATTCACACCACTAAAAATCCCAACACATGGATAACTAAACTCTTAGATTGTTCATACTATATAAAACCCTAGGGATAATGGATTATTTTGATTATGTGATGTTGGATTGATGTTTTTGGATGGTTTCTTTACAATATGACTGCATGCCTAACTGTTGTTATAATGTGTCGATAGCTTCAAATATGACTTTGTATTGAAGGAGACCAAACACAACCTATTAGATATGACAAATGTCAGACACAAGGGTAGGATGAAAACCATCAAAAGGATTAATTAACTCACGTTACATGATATCCGTCAGACCTAGTGGGACCACAATCTAGATAATCGTTTTGCTTCTGTTTTGCTCTATTCGAATTGACCTCTTCCCTTCTTTGTTTAAACTAATTCTTTTCACCAATTCAATTTCAATACTTATTTGTTTAATCTAGGTTTCATCTTTAAGTTTTGAGTAATATACTTGTCAGAGACCTAACGAGAATTTGATTTGAGTAACCCTTGTATCTATTCAGTTAATTTGATTTTGCTCGACAACTGATCAGGAGCAGGGCAAGGCGGCGGTTGGGATGAGAAAGGAGGAGGATGGGAGAACTGATGGCAAAGACAAGGTCGACGACATGGGGTTAGTTCGGGAGGTAGGATAGAGAGGGGGGTGTTTGTTCAAGTTTTAATTTGAAATTCAAATTGGACAAATATGTAAATTATTAGGGCTGGTAGTCGGTTGGTATCCGGTATACTGGATACCGATAATCCGGTATTCAGTATACCGAAAACAGACATTGTGCCCGCCGAATACCAATACCGGATGTTAACCTGTATACCAGTATTCCGGATAGTCGGTAATCGGTATTAAACCGGTATACCGAATACCCGGTCGGCCGGTCGGGGATGGCGAGGATGAAGTAGACCGTTGGGGACTGCTGGTGGTGGTGAAGATAAGAGGACGGCGGAGATGCTGGGGACGACGTAGCTCTCCGTCGACGACTGCTGCTGGCGTCGACTGGTGAGCTTCGACGAGAACTGGTACTGCTGGCTGCTGGATGCTGGGGGTGAAGAGAAGAGGAAGAAGAAGGTCGGGGCTGGCTGCGGGGGGCGGCGGCCGGGGCTGGGGGCGGCGAATCAGAGGAGAAGAAAGGAGTTGGCTTCTTGGGAGGGAAGGAGGTCGATCGCAATATAAGGGATTAGGGTTGTTGGTCGACGTCTGCTGCCCCAAATCTCAATTCGCAATTCCCAAATCCATTTCCCCTGTGCGCTGCGCGATGCGTTTTTTTTTTTAATATTCGGTATTACGGTGTACCGGTATACCGTCGGTAATTACCACCTATTATCCGGTATTACCGAATGAAAAATTACACGCCCGAATACCGGTTTACTGATTACCACCCCTATAAATTATGCACTAATGTTACGGTGACAAATAGTAATTTGAGTAGTACTTTTAGCGATCCAGTTCTTTTGGTGTGATTCCTTAGTTATTAGTTATTACTTGTCACCTAACTAAAAAGTAAGTTAGGAGGTATATAGAGTGTGATGCGAATTCGGAGTGGGTGTTTCGTTTTGTTGTCTTACTGTGGTGAATATAGAAGTCCCGGAATTAGGTAATGTTTGATCATATACAATATACCGAGGATGTTTTACTGCATCATTATAACGCACAGGTAAATGAAGACCCTTTATTTGTTACTTGCAAGTGTTGCTTCTTTTGATTTTAGACTTTGATTTGTTCGTGTAAACTCTTATTATCTTTTCGTCTTGGTAATACAAGTAAGTTATTGGAAAAAATAAAAGTTAAGAGTAGTTATTAACTTATTACCCCAACGGCTCAACCCACAAAAAAGTAAAAGATTTTATCTTTTGTACCTTGTCTGATGAGGTGAGCAAATATGGCGAATAAAAGAAGAGTTAACTTTCTCTCTCCATATCTTTGCTTTGATTAGCAAGTTCAGCAGCGGCAGCCAGTTCATATTTCAGAGTTTCTTTGACTGTCGAAACTGGTACAAGATCAATCAAACCTTCCTCACCCATATATTCGCATACACCACCACTCTTTTTAGTGATAATCTTCTTGAGAACAAGTTCGTTTGGAATTTGGATCAAAGGCGGAGAACTGAGAGCTGTTGGAAGGAACACGATGAATGCTTGCTTGGAGGAGGGTCCAAAGTTCTTCAAAATACTTGTGGATGAAGACATTCAAGAGAGTAACATGGTAAACCCTTTTCCTTCTTCTTCTTTACCCATTTCGCTAAGCTTCTCCGCCTCTACATGACTTTCCTGCTTCTGGCAGCTGGTTCCCAAGAAATACTCCATGGACCATTTTGATTGCGTCTCTAACCCAGTAACCCTCGAGCTCCCAAATGGTGATGCGTGGCTTGTAGAGCTGGTGAGAGATGATTTAGGAAAAAGGGTTTGGTTTGGAAAAGGCTGGCAACAGTTCTCACAACATTACCATTTCCAACACGGCCATTTCTTGCTCTTTGAGCTTCTGGGCAACTCCCATTTCTCTGTAAACATATTCGATCGAACTGCGGCAGAGATGAAGTACTCACAGTTCACAGTTGGGGTGCCTAATGGGGAAACGGCAAAAATTATTGCCAAGGAAGATGGAGGTAAAGAGGAGTCTTCATTTTCCCCAGTTGTTTAAACTTTAAAGATTGTAGCTTTCTGTTTGGACTCTGGAGTGAAGACATTGAATTACCTTTTGTTCTCTCTAGCTGCTGCGGCAGCTGCCACTAACTCTGTCCTGCCGCGGCGGCGGCCATCTTTCACGAAAGTCATCGTAAAGAACAGTCGCAAGTCAGGAGTTAACAATGTATGAAGCCGGTGTTCTGCAAAACTTGATCATTTGATCTAGTTCTCCTGAAAGTTACATTTTTCGTTTTGCTCTCCAACTCTGGCTTACCTTGCTGGTTTGTTGTGCAGCTTAATGTGCCTAGCAGATTTGTGGAGACGTATCTCGCGACCGGATCGGGAGAGAAGGGAGATATCATGGTGAAGCTCAACGTTGGAGGCGAATCTTGGGCGGTGAAGGTTGTGAGGTATGAAAGGAAAACGGGATGTTGGATGTCCAAAGGTTGGTGGAAGTTTGCAATGGATAACTCTCTCAAAGCATGGGACCGTTGCACCTTTGAGCTGAGGGACGCAGGAAATGAGTTCGATGTCCAAATCCAGAGATGTTAATTAGTTCGCAGTTCTTTCCCTGTTGATCAAGACAGAATACTGTTAGGTTACTTCATCTCCCAACGGGGCGAGCTTCGTAGGGTTGAATCTCTGTAGAATGGCACCTTTAGCTACTTTGAATCCAGCAACCCAAATAGTATCAAAGTTCAAATCAATCAATGCCCTTGCAGATTTGAAGGTGATGATGTTGCTCAAAAAGGAATGGTGCTTGTATGATTAGTTTCAGAACCCAGATAGCAGAACAGAGTACTCTGCCCTCAACTTGCCATTGCAATTAGACTTCTATGCCATCAAAAGAGTTCTACTTTAGTTTCACTATTACTGTTTCATATGCAAGCTGCCACTTTCTCAGCCATTATAATATGTCCTTACAGCTCCAAGCAATCTCTCAGAAACCTCTGGCATCGATCACTTTATGGTCTCAAACAGGCTCCTCGGGCTTGGTTTGAGAAATTTCAATCTACGATTATCGATCTGGGTTTTCAGCAGAGTCTTAATGATCCTTCACTCTTCACCAAGGTATCTCCAACTGGAATTGTCGTTCTTTTACTCTATGTGGATGACATGGTGATCACTGGATCTGATCCGATGGGGATTGATCAGCTTAAAGATGGTTTGAAGCAAGCTTTTAGTATCAAGGATCTCGGGAATCTTTCATATTTTTTGGGTCTGGAAGTTAGCCGTAATGATCAAGGGATCCTGCTCAGCCAGAGGAAGTATATTTCTGATCTATTGAGTGAACATAATTTTGATAACTGCCATCCAGTTAAGACTCCTATGGAACTTAATTTGAAGCTACAAAAGGACTCAGGAGAACGACTGAAAGATGGAGCTCAGTATCGCAGTATCGTGGGAAGTCTAATCTATCTTTCAGCTACTCGTCCCGACATTTCATATGCTGTTCAGATAGTCAGTCAATTTATGACTGCTCCTTGTGCCGATCATCTTGCTGCTGTTCACAGGATTCTGCGGTATCTGCAAGGAACTCAAGATGTCGGGATCCTCTTTTCTTCTACTGGTTCAGCTGAAATTACTGCCTATTCTGATTCCGACTATGCAGGGTGCATTGATACTCGTCGTTCAACTTCTGGGTGGTGTGTGAAATTTGGCGGTGCATTTATTTCCTGGCGATGCAAAAAGCAGGATAAAGTCTCCAAATCATCCACTGAAGCAGAATATCGAGCTATGTCCGAAGTTGGTTCTGAAATGGTGTGGTTACGAAGGCTCCTTTCCGATTTTGGTGTTGCGTGCCCAGCACCTATGGCTCTTTATGTCGACAACACCAGTGCCATTAGAATTGCAGCTAATCCGGTTCTTCACGACCGTACTAAGCATATTGAGATACATGTACACTATGTTCGTGATCTGGTACGGGATGGCACCATCAGTCTACATCACCTCCCTACAGAAGAACAAGTCGCAGACCTATTCACCAAGGCATTTTCTACTAGTCGTCACTGGTACCTTGGTAACAAATTGATGCTAAGAGATCGGCATCAATTTGGGGGAGGGTGATAGCATATTAGAACCTTGGGGCTGCGGTTTAACTTGTGATGTTAGAGTGATTAGTGTTAAGCCCATTCATTAATTAAGGCCCATGCCCATGCACGGTTTTGGACGTCACTGTTGTTCCTAAACCTAGGGCATTGATATATAAGGGTTAGGAGAGTTCAGCCGGCTGTAACATGTATCATCTGATCATCTCAGTAAAATCAGTAGCCTGAAGAGCGTTCCAAGCTCTTCCGTGGATTAGTCCTGGATCATATCCAGGGATACCACGTAAACTCCGGTGTTCGTATTGTTTGATTTTTCATATCGTATAATTCTGTTTCCGTATTCGTTAACACAAACAGCCTGGGTAAATTGGAACCCAGATCAATCTCGATGGTTTTGCTCTTGATCAAACCATCCCTCTTCTTCAAACACACCAATTCCTCCGCCCCCAATTCTCTCTTCTCCAACGCACATTTCTCCAACCAGATACCCACAACTTCCTTCGCCACCGGGTGCACATACTCCTTGACAATCTCCTCTACCCGCCCAGTCCCACCGCCCTGGATCCTGACGATGATCGCGGTGGGGGAGAGGACGCTCCGGAGGTAGAGTGACGAGGAGAAGTAAGGACGGACTTCAGGGAGCTTCTCCAGAAGTTGCCTGTGAGAGTCCAAATTAGTCTGCTCGTAGAATTCGTGGAGGTAGTCGGGATGGAAGACGGGATCTTTTCGAGGAGGCAAATCGAGGATGAAAATCAGGGTATCCGGGCTGCTCTGAATCAGCTCTATCAACAAGTTTGGCGCGTCGGTGGAAGTGTTTAGGTATGCTGAGAGGCTTGTTATGTTCAGCGATCCCATGCCTGTGGGTAGCTTGCAGTGAAGCCAACTCCCAAGTATGAAATCCACCTACGAAAGAAATTGAAACAAATTGACGAAAATTAGCTTCAATTTGATAGTTTTTTCTTAAGAACCCTAATTGAATTGGTGATGTTTTTTTACCGGGGAGGAATGGTGGCCGGGGCGGATGTGGAGGGAGGCGTGGGCGGTGCCGGGATCGTTGCGGCAATACTGGGCGTCTGGCGGGAGAGTTGAAGGGAGGAGGTGAGCGGCGAGGCGATTCTCGACGGTGGAGACGAGATCGACCATGGCGTCTCTGATGGGGCCGGAGGCGAAGGGGAAGTCCATGAATTTGAGGCGGTCGTCGTCGTCGGCCATTAGGGGTGATGGTGAAGAGAGTGCAACGAAGGAGGTGGTTTTGGTGGCTGGGGAATTGGGGGAAGAAGAGGTGAGAAGAGGGAGAGATTTGGAAGGGAATCGAGAAGAGGAGAGACCGGTGAAGGAGAAGAAGGAGGCGGAGGTGATTCTGACAGCCATTAATCAGTTACTGGCCACAATCTCCTCTCAGTCCCGCTACACTCTGATTTTTGTTGGCTAAGTTACAGATCACTCACTATATCTATATTTTTCATGTTTGTAACTTCAAAATATTCTTGCCTTATATTTGAGACAAAGTAACCATTTATACATGTAAAAAAAAAACATTTATTATCTTATATCATCAGGGTAATGATCCATCAACCTATTGCTGGCTTTTATGCGGCACAAATAGTAGAATTTGTCCTGGAAGCGGAAGAATTACTGAATAGTAGGGTGTTGAACGGTGTCGTTAACATGGTAACCGTTTTAACCGGTAGTATTTGGATAATTTGGTTTGGTTAAATTGGATATTGGTTTGGTTTGGTTAATTTTTTTTAGCTTGTTTGGTTTAGGTGGTTCGGTTTGGTTTTAGACACTTCTAACCGATCAAACCAAATTAACCAGTTAAGTAATTAGCTATATATCAATATATTACATACACATACTTAATACTTTGCATAACCACTCAAGAGTCAAATGTAAGATAATTGTGTTAGTTACATGTATTTATGTTAAGGATTAACTATAATTTTGTGTTGATTGTTATGTGTTATTCATTATATAAACTAGCTTTATACCGGCCCGTTGGGCGGCAAGTTTTGATTGGTTAATATATTTTTCGTCCTAGTATTATAATTTTATTTATGATTCATTATGTTAAACTATTATACATTGAATTGTTAATCTCACTTACCAAATTTCATATATTGTTTCACATTTTTATATCTTTCATTTATTTATGAAAATTTAATTTTATTAAATGAGCTCTCCATAGTACTTTCTTTATTGATTTATAATTATGTATCGAATCCACCATTGAAGATATAAACTAAGAGATTATTCATTTTTTAGCACACAAAGTGACAAAGAAGTTAAAATTTTGAAGGACACAAAAGAAGAAGTTAAAATTTGCAAATATATTTCAATTAATAAAAAAAAGTGAAGAACTTTCATTTTTTCACCCTTCTCATACGTTGGTATATGATAATAGAGAATATCGCGATCTAGATCCCACAAATATCGTGTAGTATCAGTTACTCGTGTAATTTTGGAAGAATGAGAAACCACATTGGCACCCACATCATCAATCTTCCGCTTATTCGTTTTTTTACCTTGAAAATATTCTAGCAAAACCAACCACAAATAAGACTATTATTTGTCACTAATTTATTAAAACTATGTTTTAGTAAACTAAACTGCATATAATCATAATTTATATTTTGTAGAGAGCTACATACCCATGCCAAAAGGATCATGTTTTTCTACCTAATAACAACATAGATAAATAGTAAATGTTGTATACTTCAATATAACTCAAGTCATTATATCTTGCAGAGTCCCCATTGTGAATCGGATTGATGCATCAATCCAAATAGTAGTTATTATGAAACAATCAGGCCAAAAGCAAGCTTTAGTTAGGGATTCAATTAGGCAAAATTCACGCTAAGAAAACAAACCAATGTCATTACAAACGTCTAGAAATGGGGGGGGGGGGGGAACATCGACATTTACTACCATTTTATTTCTTTTTCGCGCCCTTTATAAAACCCCAAATATGTTCCCTCTTACTTATAACCCCCTGCTACATACTATTTACTTGATCAGATCATCGTCATATAGCTAGCTAGTAGCATGTCACTCATGAACATAATAAATATAATGAACAACCCTCACAACTCTGCTTTCCATTTTAACATCCAAGGAATCGAGTTGCAATAGGCCTCCATGAAAAACGATCAATTATTCAATCAAAGGAGAGATGCTCCAAGTCCAAGCAACGAACCCTTTGAATTATATGTTACATGTTTACATCAAAGTATACAGGATACCAGAGAACCATAAAACAACTACCTGAATAACATCGACATTTACTACCATTTTATTTCTTCTTCGCGCCCTTTATAAAACTCCAAATATGTTCCCTCCTATTTATAACCCCATGCTACATACTATTTACTTGATCAGATCATCGTCATATAGCTAGCTAGTAGCACGTCACTCATGAACAACCCTCACAACTCTGCTTTCTATTTTAACATCCAAGGAGTCGAGTTGCAATAGGCCTCCAAGGAAAACGATCAATTATTCAACCAAAGGAGAGATGCTCCAAGTCCAAACAACGAACCCTTTGAATTATATGTTACATGTTTACATCAAAGTATACAGGATAACAGATAACCATAAAACAACTACCTGAATAACGAAGAAGAAATACAACCATTGAATCGAAAAGGGAAATTTACTATCCAACCGCCGTAATCTGGAAGAAATTAAGAAAAAAATGGGAAGAAGACTATAACTCGGTCAGTCAACCGCTAGCAGTCAGATATCTCCGAGGAAGAAATATCAATTGCTCACTGCGGATCAAAAGGGATGAGGGAGAAATGATAGGTTGGACTTTTCTTCGTCAATAGGCAAAAATATGTTAGAGTTGTTTAATTCTTTCCCAACAAATCATTGCATCATGTAACTCCCACCTCCTGTTCTCCTACAAAGAGGGGGAAAAAATCAATATGCCTTACCATTTCCTTTCCTATATCTATATACAAAAAAGTAGAGAAGACAAATTCTAGAAACTCAAAATTTAAGCAAATAAGAAGAGAGCTTTATTTGTTTTTGTGGGGCTTGATCTTGTTTCTTTATTATCAATGTTGTGTTTTATTTTCAATGTTGTATGGGAAAAGGAATAGGAACAAACCAAAATGTTGCATTCATTTTTATTAACTTAATTTACTTTTTATTGATAATGATGACAATTTAAAGAGTAAGCAAAAAAGCACACCAATTAGACCTTGTCCAGCGTGGAAGGGTGAGAGCTAGCCATGTACTGATGTGGCACAAAATTAGTTTTAGATTCCTACAATATTAAGTAATGATTATTTATGATTTCTTGGATTCTTGAAAGTATTTACATACATTTGAATTCTTGAAAGTATTGTAGACATATCTATTAATATCTAAGAATATGTATAATGATTTTATTTTAATTTTTAACCCTAATTAATACCTTTGAACTCGGCTCATCGACTGAAATATGAAACAAAAAAATTGTGGCTAGGATAACTCGATCTAAATACAAATTGCTTATTGTTACTAACCAAAAGATTTCCATTTTGAGACTTTGATATTGAAAATGTTTTTGTTATTGCCAAAATTTGGTATGGAGTCATAGACTCACAACCATCTAGGTGGGGTTGTTTGCTTGATGAATTTGGAGCTATCGTGAACTTTGTCCAACCATTTCTTGCTTCATGTATTTAGAGGCAACAAATATGTGGTTCTCATGTATTTTAAGGTTCCAAATTTATGGGCCCACAGACTTGAAAATTTCACCTCTTTAATGGAAATTCATCATGGACTTTGAAGTCTATTATTTATGACCAACCTACCCCTCATATTTCATTTCCCTTCTCATACCAATGAGGGTAATATATGTCATTTTCACTTCCAACATACAAATTCAATTAACCAAATGCATCATGAAATCTATGAAACGAAATATGGTATTTTCAAATACATAATGAACCAAAAACCTTCATATATCCATGCTTTTACAAAATCCAAGTTTTATTAAAACCTGTTTTCAAATCCACGAAGCAAACTACCCCAATGTTTTCTTACAATTGTCTTACTAAACTCATCCTTATTAAAGATTATTTATTTTAACACAATACCTCAATTCAGATTCTTGTAGCTACTAAAGTTTTTTGTTTAGATATCTCAACTAACACACTTATGTTTATTTATTGCCTCAATCCTCGAATTTAGATTTGTCTACCAAGACATCAACTATTAAATAAATTTTTTCAACCCTTATTTGATCAATGCTAATGTTAGTGGTTGATGAAACGTGATGTTTATCCTATATCCTCAACGAAGATTTTCTTAACCTTCCCACGTGTTGTTTTTTAAGTGATGTTGTGTCTCATCCTAGGTATGAAGTCAAAACTTGTCAAAAATCATACTTAAGTCATTTTGAAAACTGTGATGTAATAATGTTCTACAATAACTCCAAATCTGAAAAGAAATTACTTAGCAATCGATTTATGACCTCAATAGAGATTGTTCAATTAATATGATCTAGAGTGAATATTTTAATATGAACCCTAGGACAAATTATAAAGTATTGCACATCTGATTCCTCTTAATTTGAGAAACTGAAGGTAGACATTGAATATATGTATTCGCTTAATCATGATGAATAAGAAGTTTTTTAAAGAAAGAACTATTATTGCTTAGTCAAATTTATATTCAGACATTTTACTATATAAGACTTGTTTTATTTTATAGAAATATATAGGGTTAATATTTTCGTATGGCCTGAACTTTGACCAAAATAAACATCCTGGCCAATCTTTTTGATCTATAACATCCTGGCCCGAACTATACACCAAAATAAACAATTTGGCCAAATCCGACTTTTGACTGTTAACTTGACGGTCAAACGCGTTGACCGTTAGTCAACGCGCCACGTCACTGTCAAGTAAACAATTTTCAATTCAATTTTTTTACAATTTCCACCTATTATCATTTTTTTATACATTTTGAACGAAAAAAAAAAGTTAAAAGAAAAATTAATCAAAATAAACCCTTCATATCCTCTCTGATCCCTTTCACTCCCCCGCTGCCATCTGCTCTCCAAAAATCATATTCTGCTTCTCCTTCTTCCATCACAATCAATTGTAAATGCCCCAAGTATAAAGTCCAATCCATCTCCCCCGTCACCGCCCCAGAGAACCTGGGTGATTATCCCCAAAATTCCCAAATCGTAAATCAAATAAAATCCGAAGTCCAAACCTTTACTCGCCATCATCATCACCAAACGGAGGGAAATGAAAAGATTAGGTAATGGCCAGCTTCCCTCCATCCATGGCTGCGAGTGCGAAAATGGTGGTACCACGGTCGATTTCCACAACTTTTCGCTCACCGTCCTTAGTGGATCGTAGCTCCTCTGCCCTCTTTCGGTTGCTCCCGCTGCCGTCGTCAAACCCCAGGGGAGGAAGGAATAGGCTCACCGACAAACCAGCAACAGCAAGTGTGCGGGCGAATGAGCCGGAGTGAGGGA